CGTTTGTGGAGAAAAACCATCAACAGAAGGTGGAAGACGAACGTATTTAGAGTGATGAAGACGTAAAGATGAGTAGTGAGGACGATGAATAGTGTAAAAGAGAGAAACAGGACTTAGACGATGATAATTTTGAAAAACTGTAAAAGTCTAAAGTATTTACATTACTTTTTGGTCTCATCAGGACCTGGGAAGAACAGATTTAACTATGATTAACAAAACAGCGATAGATCAAAGTTTTATAACGCATCCTTAAGACGTTTTTCAAATGCTGTTGATTGAAGTGCTTTATCTATTTTGTATCTTAGAGTGAAATGGAAATTGACACTTTGGACTCAAGAATAAACCGGTCTTTCCACTTTAATTAAAAATCTCTTAGAAGTGCTGGCTATATGAGTAGTAAGACTGTTTTCTGTCCTACTTAAATTTGAAAATTTGTGGTAATATGCTGTATTGCACATATATTTTATTTGAGATGTTTTTCGTGTACAAACGACATGATTTAGGAATCTAGCAACTAGTACTTTTCGTAATACACGTACGGATTTTTGTGTGCAAGGAGAAGAATGAGAAAGAAACTATATGCATATAGTGAGAATTGTTGATATATTACACCAGTTTACTTTCTTGCAAGCTTCTGGTCTGTTGCGTTTTTTTTAATATATGATTTATCTTCTTTTCGTTCATCTAGTTGCTGTAAGCGGGCCAATACCTCTAGATGTATATGTGAAGTATAATATTTCTTTTTTTTCTAGAATCATCATTTTTAACTGACCTGTTCGATAGTATGAGTCGTAATTTTGGAAGTCATACTTTATTTATAGAGGTATTGTGTTAGTTTCTTCTGTTTGTTTGTATGTCTAATATGTACTTTTTTTCAACAGGAATATGATAATAGTTATCGGAGAGCAAAAGACAATTTACTCAAACATAACACGTTGAATAATAAAGTTTGATAACATTAACTTCTGTAGGCTCTCAAATTTATATTCGTTTCTTCTAGACTTCAGCAAAATATCAAAGTTTAGCTCCATCAAAATCATATGATTATATCAATTCAAGTCCATCGTCCTCGACAACAGTCGATTCTGATGAGGAAGAGGAGCATAACGAAAGTAGGTAATAGAAGTACAAGTGTCAGAAGTAAATTACAATGATTTTAAACTTTTTAATGTATTATAGTATTTGAAAATGTTAAAAAGCAAATTAGTTGTTTAGAGGTACATATTTTGAAGTATCTCGTGAATAACAGTCAAGGATAACGTAATTTTTCGTCTTTTAAGTTGAGTCGTCCGAAAAAATGTATAAATTTACCCTACGATGAAATACATCCGGTTTATGATTCGGACGAGTAAGTAACTTTTGAATAAATTATTTAATCTATTGTCATCTCGTTTAATGTTTTAGAGAAACAGAAACATCAGTAATAATAACAACAAAATCTGATGATCTGATGGCGCAGCATGCATCTTTTCTGCATGGGCTTGATTTGGATACATTAGTGAATAAGTAAGAAAAACTTTTTATACTTGTAGATAATCCGCATTTTATGGAAATATAAACATTGACAGTAAAAACGAAAGAGGTTTTGAACATTCTATCCGTCAGCCAGTTCTTAGTTGGGGAATTTTGCTTGATGTAAAAATAAAACGAATAGACGAGTATTCCTCTTTAATATGTTCAGATATCGTTCTACAAAACGTCCAATGAAGAGAGTTTTAATGCCGTATTTGGGAGATTATATGCCTGCTGTCTATAGTCCGGATCCGTTTATTAAGGCAAGCTGATGTCACTGCTGTACGCTGTACAAAGTATTTTGCTATTTTTTTGTCTTTCTTTGCTTTGAAAATAGTCTCTGTTCCTCAGAAGAGATGCATGGTATTTTTTCTTTAGGTTGAACGTCCGGATAGTTTAGCTGATATTCTTGGTTTAGCTCGTTTAGATGAGCCTAATCCAAAACAAGCCAATCTATTAAGCATTTATTTGAAAACAAGTATAACGGCTGCTACTAATGGAGTAAGTCAGAACAGATATTTTTCTAATGAAGAATCGAATATATATATACTCGTATTTTGTTGTGTAGAAGACTATTCCGAGCATTGAATTTGCCCACCATTTCAACGAAGAATTAAAAGAATGGATTCATATAGTTGAAGAACAACGCAAATCAAGGTCCATTGTACAAGTATATCATAGAATGTATGTTTTCCAAAGTTTCTTAAACTATTGCTTGGAGAAAAAAAATTGATGTACCATCTTTCTCACACTAGGCCACTGCGAGATGTACGAGAATTTATTATGAACACTACAGAACTCTCTACATCGATGTTACGAGAGGTAAGAATATTAACAGGCAGCGCTTTTCAATACTTACATAATATTTTATTGTACAGATATTGCCACCAACAGCTGAACTCGATTGCTCATTAGAAGAATTGATTGACATATTATGCGGTAAGTAATTGATTTTTTTATTCTCATTATAGCTCACTCATACTTCACATGCTGACCGTTATTGATAAGGTATTTTTACTTTTCTCTTTAGGTTTGTTTGATGTACCAAATCATGGATCTCGTATTCAAGCATTACATCAATTATTTTCAGTTTATATAGCTTATAGGACAATACTTGTGAGTTTACTTCAGCAGAAAACATTTTCCACTATGAACAAAGTATGCTCTTCTGTTCAGGGTAATGGAAAGAAGTGTAAAGACGAGTATCGTGCTGAAATTTATATTTAATTACAAGATCGATTCATTTATTACAAAGTCAATAAGAACTGAACGCTATTATGCATGAATCTTAAAATCATTCACTGACTTTGAGAGAGTCTCGATCACACAATTTTTTACTGAATATTTTAAATCAATCTACAATTGAACTTCTTTTTAAATCATCAAATTATAAAGATCTTTCAATCCCGGTTTTTCAACGACTCGGTTTTCAAGGTGGAAAACTTTTCGAAACAAAAAATGTTTTTGATCCAGCCATATGGAAGAGCTCATCGCCAAACCTAAGCAAAACCATTTTTTTAGGTTTTAGAAGAGATTTTAAACGGGTTTTAAACGTGCAAAACTGATTT